TAAACCTTCATCTAAAGTACAATAAAATAAAAAAGACAAGGGCAGAGAGTCTAAATTAACTGCGGTGAAGCTATATGGGCAGAAATAGTGAGAATGATGATGCAACATGAAGTGTGTAAGTTTTGTCAATGAACTGTACATGTAAAAATTGTTGCATGTGTTTAAAAAAAAAGTGTATTATTACAGTTAGAGAAATTGAGGCTTTGTGAGTTTGAGTAACTTGCCTAAGTTCACAAAAATAAAGTCATAATTTGATTGCTGGGCATCCAAAAAAAAAAAGAAAGAAAGAAAAGAGGAATCACTAAAATAAATCTTGAAACTTAAAAAAAAAAAAAGTTAGCATGCTTATGAAAATACCTCATGGAGGGAGGCCGTGGTTAGCAAAAGCAAAAGGCACGCATTATTTGCGTAAAAATACAGTATATGTGAGATATAAAAGAAAAATAAATGAGCACTTGAAAAATGATACTATATTTCTTCTGCTGTAGGAAATGTAAGACTATTGGAACAAATTTTGAATACCCATGATACTCTGACAAGAAAAAATGAATCTTCAGATAAAGCCTTACTAACTGTGTCAAACATAGGATGGAATCCTGAGAGGAAAGACAGGTAAAATCAAGAGATTGGAGTGAAAATTAGATTCAAAAGAGCTTTGCTCATATTTCTAAAATTTCTTTAGGGATTTTAGTAAAGTATATCTTTGCTTTTTTCAATTACGTTAGGTTTAGTTAATTTTCCTGCTGCTGATATATCTTCAACTTTTTCTATATTTATGAAATTAATATATCTCGTTTTCTCAAAATGCAGGTTATTAATTTATAACGAAATTATATCTGAAATTTGCCTAAAAAAATAATCCAGCACAAGGTAGGGGGAAGAAGAATAGGGGTATAGATGAAACGAGGATGGCCGTGAGTTAATGATTACTACTACTCACTTACCGACTATCTCATTATCCAACATTTCGCATTTATGACAATAGTAAAAAATCTACTATCGGAGTATTTGGTGCATGAACAAGGCGGCGAGCACGGCAACAACAGCTGAGGAGCGTCCCCACCCTCTAGGAGGGTTTCTGGGCAGCCTCTGGGAAGCTGGGCCATGCTGCTCCACACACTCCGCTCTCTCCTGCTAGCAGGGCGCTGTGTCCAGCTGCCACGTGGGGCTGACCTCCTCTGTGGCCATGGCCTCTGGGCAGATGCACAGGCAGCACTGAGCCAGCGGGTGCCTGTTCTGGGTTCCCAGCTCCTATGTGGCCTGAGGCTCTGCAGCTCAAAATTGCTGTGGGGTGGGGAGGAAAATAAGAGACGTTGGAGAGGGTGTTTGGAAGAAATGCATGCGAGTTTAACAACATCCCAAAGTAAGCCTAACTGGGCCTAAAGCCTCCACCTTGGTGGGGCCAGGTGTCAGCCAGGCTCCCAGCGCCCTCATAGGAAGCCCCTAGCCTTGATGACTCACCAGGCTTGGAGGGCAGAGCAGACTCCAGGATGGTTTACATAGGGCTTGCAGGGGTGAGAGTGAAGCCCTGGAGGTGGCTGCACGAGGGAAGCTCTGACCCAGCACAGGAAGAAGGTGAAGTGGTTAAGCTGTGGGCCTTCCAGTCACACAGCCTGGCTTTACCCAGCTTTGTCTCCTCTAATCCTCCTTCTCCGCAGAGGAATAATCCATAACTGGACTCATCACAGTGATAAACACATCAGTAAATCTTAGCTGTTATTATTTATACAATATTTTCTAAAAAAAAAAAAAAAACAAACCAACAGACGGGTGGTCTGAAAACAGGGAAAAAAAATCCATTTTCTCATGATGTCAGTTTTCACATAACAACCTAGTCTTTGGAACCTAACCATGTTGATAAGTAAGGAATAGGTGTATTGAAGTTAAAAAAATTGGGTACCTGGAGGTTTATTATACTATTCTGCTTTTGTGTATGTTTGAAATTTTATATAATAAAAAGTTTTAAAAAATCAGATCAACCTATGCCAGTATCTTGAATATCACGGAAGCTATAGTAATAAAAATTTAGAGTGGCATTTTGGGTAAATTCATACGAAGACATTATATAATTTTATTCCATTTCAATGTGCTGTAATTACTGATAAGATAGAATTTATGTCAGCCATGTTGCTATATGTTTTCTACATGTCTTATGTCTCTTTTATTCTACTATTCCACCATTATTGCCATTTTTTTCTAATATACCATTTTAATATCCTTGTTGTTTACCATGGTTTTTTTTTTTTTTTTTTTGAGTTATTTTCTTAATGGTTGCCTGGGGGTTACAATTAATATCTTAATTTAATACAATCTAGTTCAGATTAACACCAATTTAATTTCAATAGTATTCAGAAACTTTGTTCCATTATAGCTGTTTTCTCGCTCTTTCTTTGTACTATAATTATCATATAAATTATATCCTTATACATGATAATCCCATCTATAAAAGTTTTATAATTTTTGTTTTGTGCAGTTATCTTTGAAATCAGATAGGAAAAGAAAAGAATGACAAACAAAAATTTATATTGTCTTTTATATTTACTTATATCCTTACTATTACCAGTACTCTTTTTTTATTTGTTCATTTGGATTTTAGTTAATAAAAGTGTTCTTTTATTCCAGCCTGAAGAACTGCCTTTAGTTTTTCTTGAGGGTAGGTCTCCTGGCAATGAATTCTCTGTTTTTGTTTACCTGGGAATACATTAAGGAGCTCTGGTGGTGCAGTGGTTAAAGCACTCAACTGCTAACCAAAAGGTTGGTGGTTCAAACCCACCAGCAACTGCACAGGAGAAAAATGTGGCAGTCTGCTTCCATAAAGATTATAGCCTTGGAAATCCTATGGGGCAGTTCTGCCCTATTGTATAGGGTTGCTATGAGATGAAATTGACTTGATAGCAGTGGGTTTGGTGTTTGTTTGTTTATTTGGGAATATCTTAATTTCTCCTTCATTTTTGAAGGATAATTTTTCTGGATATAGAATTCTTTGGTTGACTTTTTTTATTTATTTCAGCACTTTGAGTATGTCATCTCGCTGGTTTCTGAACTCCATGGTTTCTGATGAGAAGTCAGCTGTTAGTCTTATTGAGGATACTGTATGTGATGAGGCATTTTTCTCCTTCTGCCTTCAAAATTCTCCCTTTGTCTTAGGCTTTTGACAGTTTGACTGTAATGTGTCTAAGTATGGATCTCTTTAGTTTATCCTATTTGGAGTTTGTTGAGATTCTTGGATGAGTAGATTAATTCTCATTTGGGAAATTTTTAGTACTTATTTCCTTAAAGTCTCAAATAATGCAGATGACCTTTCCCTCTCTCCTCTCCTTCTGGGACTATGCTGTATGTTGGTATTCTTGATGGTGTCCCACAGATCTCTTGAGGCTCTGTTCATTTTTCTTTATTCTTTTTCTTTCTGTTCCTCAGACTGAATACTCTCAATCTATTTTCAAATTTGCTGATTCTTTCATATTTCAGCTCAAATATGCTATCGAGCCACTGTAATGGACTTTACATTTTAATTATTATGTTTTTCACTCCAGAATTTCTTCTTGATTTTTTTTATAATTTCTGTCTCTTCATTGGTATTTTCTATTTGGTGAGATTTTATTCCTATACTCTCCTTTAATTTTTTTGAACATGACTTCCTTTAGTAATATTTGAATTATGGTCTTTGTTTAGTAAGTCCAATATGTGGATTAGAATTCCTCAAGGACAATTTCTATTGACTGTACTGTTTCCTGTGTATGGGCCATACATGCTTTCCTATTTCTTTGTGTGTCTCATAATTTTTTGTTTAAAACTGGACGTTTAAAATAATATAGTGTGGTACCTCTGGAAATCAAATCTCTTTCTCGCCGGGGTTTGTTTTTGTTGCGGTTTGTTTAATAACTTTCCTGGACTAATTCTGTAAAGTATATATTCTTGTATGCACTCACTGAAGTCTGTTTTGTTAGCTTAGCCAGGTAATGATTGGAAAGAGATTTCCTTAACCTTGAACCAATAAGTCTTCCTATCTTTGCCAAAAGAAAGGGTGTGTATCTGTTTGTGTGTGTGTGTAAGGGCATGTTTTGAGCATTCTACAAGTTTATAAGTCTGCCTTAGCCATCATTTCCTACTTGTATAGAGCCTCAAAGTTTGACAGATGTGAGAGATTAGGGCCTTTTTGGGCCTTTCTTGAGCACGTACACTACACTGCCAGGCACATGACCTTCTAGATCCCAAGGAATATACTGGAACTTTTCAAAGCCCCTCTGGACATCTCATTCCCCAGGTTTTTAAAGTTTTTAGACCAGCCTCTTGTTTGTCTCAACTGGTATTGCTACCTTAGGCAGCTGAGATGTTAAATGATTCTCACTGATGCTTTTCAACGAATGTCCTGGGAATAGGGTTTCTCACTGAGCTAGCTCAGAGTCAGGTCAGATAAAGACAAGCCCTGTGAATGGAGCTTTTGGGGGAGCTACAAACCTTTTCTGAGCCCTTTAGTGGCTGTGAGGCTGTCGGCTTTCATAGCTAACACGGTTGTGAGGCTATTGGTTGTCAAGTTTACTACAGAGCTGAGGAAGCGTGGATGGGAGTGGGTCAAATTAAAAATGCCGTAAAGCATATTGTTTTTACCAAGACTCAGCTTTTTTTTTTGGTTGGATTGTTGGAAGTCTTTGTTTAATTCCCAGAGTTCCGAACAAGTTGATTTTAACAATTTTTGTAAGTGTTCTTGTTCCTTTTATGGAAGAGTAGATTTTCAGAGGTTCTTACATCACCATTCTGGTGGTATTCCTGAATGTTAGCTTTTTGAAAACAGAGGCTTTTTCTCCCCTTTTCCTGCTGTGCCTAAACCTGTTTGGTAATTTTGTATCGTGATTTTCTGTGTTTCATATGTTTGATCACATAAGTGATTAATTCCATTGTACAATTTTAATAGAATACCATTTAGTAATACATAACTGAGAATGTGTCAAAGATATATATAATCACATGTTTGATGAATTTATGAAATTTTGGAAACTTTTCTTTTTTAATCTTCTATAGCATTGGCACTCTACCTTCTCAAACATTTCCCTCCTATGAAGAGCTAGGAACAACTAAAGTGACTATCCAGAAATCTGATGATGTTCTTCCTGATTTTGGCCAAAAGAAGAATGAAACAAATGGCATGCTTCAGGTAAAGTAGGAACAGGATGTTAAAATTGATAAAAATTAGAAGGAATAAAAAAGTTATGAAGACAGAAAGTTAGGGTAAAGATGAAGGACAAAGTGCTTAAAAAGAGATGCCAGCCATGTCTGTCCCCTTTAAAAAGCTTTTCAGAAGCCAAGACTGAGTCACATGGCCATCTCTAGCTTTCCATCTTCTTTTGTAGAAGAAGGAAGGAGGAAAGCGGGCAGCGAATGGCTCTCATTCATCGAGCCCGCAATGTCTGCCATACCTACCAACAGCCACCTTGCTCCTGTTTTGTTTTAGCTTTGTTCACTGGCAAAAGCTCTTAACAGTCATTGGACTGCCTACCACTGCTAGGGATTTCCCAGCCCTACTTCATTTAACATTCACATTAAACCCATTGCCGTTGATCCGATTCCGACTCATAGTGACCCTATAGGACAGAGTAGAACTACCCCATAGGGTTTCCAAGGAGTGGCTGGTGGATTCAAACTGTTGACCTTTTGGTTAGCAGCCGAGCTCTTAACTACTACACCACTGGAGCTCCAACACTCACGTTAGTACTTCTAAATGGAAAAAAATCTTAATTACCAAGTATTCTTTTGTGACTCTTCAGTTTGATAAATCTAGGTCTTAGGATATATTGGTATAGTGTATGGCCCCAACAATAGTAATAGCTTTTATTTGGATTATGACAGTCAATATGAGTTTTTATAGTAACATTTTTACCTTTTTTTTTTTTTTTTAAGTCAAAAGAGTCTTTGATTATGTCAAGGCTTGCTGATCAGAATTCAGCTAAACTTCAGACAACTAAAACAACAAGATCTGTATTGAAAGATGCAGAGAAGATTTTGAGAGGAGTACAAAACAATAAAAAAGTACTTGAAGAAAACCTGGAAGCTATTATTCGTGCAAAGGACGGAGATGCCATGTATTCATTTATCAACGCTCTATCAACCAGCAGGTAAGATAGAATGTTACCATTGCAAGGTCATTTTATGAAGCTGCCAGTTCTATAACCCAAACGAAACAAAATCCATTGCTGTTGAGCCGATTCCAACTCATAGTGCCAGTTCTATAAGCGTCTTAATTTTTTTTTCCTAAGCACTTCATTTTGCTTAATATGTTTTAATGCTAAGAAAAGTTTCTTTATTGCCTTTGAACATGTGAATCTTATTATAATGTTGGAATTTGGTCATATATATGGAATTACTGATGGAAATTTTCCTTTTATTTTTTTCTCTCTTTGATACATATCTTCTGGGATCCACATGTATTTTTCAAACATTTATCCTTCAGACATTGGATGAAAACTAATAACATTAGTTTTTCCTTTTCGGATGAAGGATATTGGACTACAAAGTAGATTCAAAACTAGTTAAGAGTTAAGTCTGATCAAGGTCCTGTTCTCAGGACTGTAAGTGCTAATTTAAGAAAATCCTTTTTTCTCCTTTGCAGAGAGATGTCAGAGAAGATTCGGATCAGAAAAACAGTAGATGAATGGATTAAAACTATTTCTGCAGAAATTCAGGTATATCTAGAAATAAACTGAGAATTAAGTGACTTCTCAGAAGATATCATTGATTCCAATTTATAAATATCACATTATACTAAAAATATTGCTTATATGTAAGTCTACTTATAACTCTTTATATTTACTTATGATAATTTAATTTTATTCAATAAGTGCTATATCAGATTATATTATGACTATCTGGAAAATTGGTGGAATATAACTAAAATATGAATGATTGAGAGAAAATTAAGCAAGAGCATTTAGAAAAGAAAAGAAATGTACTTGCAAAGGTGTTTCAAGACAGCAGATTTAGAACCATTGACTTCCCAAAGTAAACACAATGTAAGTATTTAAGGGGAAAAACATCCACAAGATTCCCAAGGTTACTAAGTTTACAGAAGTCAATTCCAGATGGAAAAACATCTACTGTCTCACATGATTATTGTGTCCACAAAGGTCATGATATATCTTCAGACATCAGCATTGCAAAAGTGTGGGAAAACTATTCTTATTAGAGGATCAGTAATTTAAAGGATATTTTTAAACTTTTTTATATATGGGGGAGCAGACCAGACAGGGTAACCCTGTTATTTCTGTTTATCTTGGAGTGCAAAGTGTTTTTTTCCTGACTGAAATGGGGCTTACGTGTTTACTCACATGGTAGCAAGATAAAGTGTCAGTTTAGTTTCCATAGTAGTAAACACTGAAATATATTTTTCAAACATTGTGATTTAAGAATATATATCTCTAATGCAGTTACAAAGAATTTATATTAGCTACTGTATGATGCAGCAGAAAAAAAAGGTGAAGTAGGAGTCAGAGACTTCTGGCCCTACAGCCAACTAACAGTGTATATCAGTCTGTTACTGTGAATCTCATGCAAAATACATTTGTTTAAACCTTCAATTAATTTTAATTTATAAATATTTTTTCAGAATTTTATTACAGAGTTGTTTGCTTTTCTGGAAGCAATGTTTTAATTTAATTTTTTGAATGGTTGCTACATTCTTATGCTTCAAGCAACAAAAAGTATAAAAAGGTTTTTAATGAAAAGTTGCCCTCCCACCCCTGTACCTCATTTCCTGTACTTTTATGCAAGTGATGTGTACCTTCTATGTTTGTTTGCCAACCACGCCCTCCCCCAACGAGGTATTTTCATAAGCACTGCTATGACAGTTTTTTTTTTTACATGCTGCTAGAAAAAAAAGAAATTAATATAGCACACTTATGAAAATACCTTGTGAGGGGAGTGTGTAGTTGGCAAACAAACGTAGAAGGTGCATGTTATTTGTGCAGAAATATGGTACTGCTTCATAAGATACCAGTCTTTTTAGTTTTTTGTTTAGCCTTCCATAACATGTTTATTCATATGCAAGCCAGTATGCTTTATTTATAAAGGTAACTGCTATACTATGTTTTTGTTACAGTAGAAAACAAATTCTAATATATTTTGATACAAAAGCATTGCTGCTTGGATATATTTTAAGTCCCAGTTATTTTGATTTTGCTTATGTTAAGGATGAGCTGGCAAGAAAAGATTATGAACAAAAGAGATTCAACCCCAAGAATCAAAGGACCAAGAAAGCACAAAATATGAGTAAAGATATTAAAACCAATATGCAAGACAAAACTGTAAATAATGCCATAATTCCAAGCAAGACGTCTCAAAAACAAATAGAGGAGCATTTTAGAAATCCACCTATGAGGAACATGCCTGCTTCAAGCTTACAGAAAGAGAGAAAAGAAGTAAGAGTCTAATCTGATTTTATGATATAGATACATTATAATCGATCATTTCCATTTGGATATAAATGATCAAGTGAATGTGAAAATATTTTAGAAATATGAAGGACTATATGCATGTAAACTATCTTTATAATATTGATATTTAGGATTATGGATATCAATAATGTAGAAGACTCCGCACAAAAAATACTTAGTTCCTTCCTTCTGAAATCTCAAAGCTGAGATTCATAGAATTTTAGTTACAACAGGTATATCTAGAGAGCACCTTGTACAAAAATTAAATTATCTAGTTAAGAGTACTCAAAATTGTAGTTCATCTTTGTGTGTATATATGTGTTATATATATATTTTTTGTTCGTTTAGTTTTCAATTCAACAGATGTATGTTTTGTGCTTAATGAGTGTGAGGCACAGTACTAAGTGCTATGGAGGGAATCTTTTTAGCTGCTTTAACTAGGCTGTAAATTTATTAATACTAAATATGAATTTTTAGGAAGATTAGTAAAGCATCTAATTCAGTGCTTAGCACTTAGTAAATGCTCAATAAATGCTGTCTTTTTCTGAGGCATTTAGATTATGATAAAAGATAGGATCAGGAATGTAGGAAGTCATTTAAAGACTTGATTTATTGTTATTTTTATTGTACTCGAATGCTTTAAATATGTAAGGTGTCTTTAAACATTACATTTGCTACTGAAAATATACTTAGTAATTTAAGAACCTTAATGTTTCTTGGATGAATGACTTTTATATTTAATTTTCATGATTTTTAAATGCATGTTTGAGAACTATATCCAGAATTTAAGGGTCCCTTAAAACACAGGACTTTTCTCACCTGATCATTCTCATTACAGTACATAAGCTAAAAAAAGGAGGCATTAGGAAAATGAAGCAAATGCATGTTAGATGTCTATTTTCTTGGTGAGTTGAGTAACTTTGACTGTATACATAGGGACTTTTGAAAGCAACCACAGTGAAACAAGATGAGAATTATATGTTACAAATTTATGGAAAACCAGTTTATCAGGGCCATCGCAGCACTCTTAAAAAAGGACCATATCTCAGATTTAATTCTCCTTCTCCTAAATCCAAACCACAGAGACCAAAAGTAATAGAACGAGTTAAAGGTAAGGAACCTCTTTTTTTTGTAGTAAACCTCATTTTTTATGATATCAGTTTAATATGTGAAGTTTCACTTTTATTTCGTTTTTTTATTTATAATAAAATACAGTTCAGATTATATAATGCTTAGGGATGGAAAAATAATTCCTTCTGTGAAAGGTGGGAAGACTAGAACTTAAAGATCAGGGCATAAGGTAGGAGTAAGTAGAATAGGATTAGATGATATCTTCAGATAAAGAATTGTAAAAATTTTATTTATGAAATGATAAGTCCTAAATAATCTAACCACCACCCATCTGTCAGTTTGTCATACTGAGGTGGCTTGCGTGCTGCTATGATACTGGAAACTATGCCGCCAGTATTTCAATACCAGCAGGGTCACCCATAGTGGATGTGTTTCAGCAGGGCTTCCAGACTAAGACAGACTAAGATGAAAGGCCTGGCAATCTACTTTTGGAAATTGGCCAATGAAAACCCTATGGATCACAACAGAATATTCAATATAGTGCTGAAAAATGAGTCCCCTAGGTTGTAAGGCATTCAAAATACACACTGGCTGCAGTAATGGACTGGAGCATACTATGATCATGAAGATATTGCAGGACTGGACAACATTTTGTTCTGATGTACATGGAGTCATCATGAGTTGGAGCTGACTTGACAGCAGCTAGCAACAACAGAAAACAATCTAAATTATAAGCTAGAGAAACAGACGTTTCCTTGAAGACCTTGGTTCATCATGTTCTTATGAATAGAAGTGTCAGCCGTAGGTTGTATTTTACCATGAAAGTGCTTATGGGTACTTGTGCAGTTTTATTTGTTTGTTTTCAAAGAGCCTTAGGTGGCAAAGGTGAAAACTTTTTTGTTACATTTGTGTACAAATAAGAAAATCTTTATTTATCACTGCATGTTTTGACTTATATCTACCATTTCACTGGCTATATCTTGATATAACTGACATATCTAAATATAACATTGTTTAAGTATTGAGTCTTCCTTTTTGGAAGTTGGAGCCCTGGCAATTGCTTTAGTCCCCTTTCCTTCCTAAAGTTAGATGATCACATAGGATGCCAGGTTATCCAGAAATCCTACTGATGTTAGTTCAGTAAAGCATCTAGCTTACGGATGATACTTACCCTAATATTTTCTCTTGTTTATTGTGACTTTGCTATCAACATATATTTGGGGTTTTGAAAGCCTTTGCAAAAAATAACTTGAGGTTTTAAAATTCATTCAAATCCTCCTCCCTCCACGCCCCCCCCCCTCAAAAAAAATAAAAACAAAACAAAACCATTATCCAATAACTCTTTTGTAGAACTGAGTGAGAGCCTGTGGACACATGCTCATCCTAGGGCCTTGGTACCTGGTATATTTGCTACCTGGAGTGCTCTTCCCCCAGACACTTGCATGGCCTATTCCTATTTGGATCTCTGCTCTTAGGTGTTAGCTCTTCAGAGAGATCTACCCTGATCATTCTGTCCAAAGAATTATCTCCTTTCCCTCTTGATTTCCTTGTGTTGCCTTATGTTCTTCATAGCACTTTTCACTATGTGACGTTGTATTTTTGTTTGATTGTTTTCCTTACTAGACTGTAAGCTCCATGAGGGTAGTTGGTTTATTCACTACTGTTTTCCCTGTGTCTGGAACAATGCCTAGCACATATTAACCACTGAACAAATGTATTTTAAATAAACAATAAATATATTCATTCCATAGAATAAGTGAGTACCAGAGAACAGGATGAATAAATATAGACATGTACTAAAACAGTTAATTTTTCTTCTTAGAATTGTAAGCAAAATGAACCTATATTTAACATTCTAGATTCATAAAATCACCTACATGTTAAAAATAAAAATATAGTAGTTAGGAAATCATGTACAACGTATTTTAGTCCCTTTTCCTTTGCGCTTTTACTTCTTTCTTTACTTTTCTCAGGTTCCATGGAAATTTATCTACTTCTTCAAAGAGACAGTCAAAAAATTTCCTATTTTTTAAGAATCAGGATGTAATTTCTAGATAGATCTACTTTATAGGAATAAAAATGTTAAATGATGTTAACTTCTGCAAGGTTTTGAAAGGATAGTTAGATTATTTGTATATGAATTCAAAGGATAAAGGCTGGTTATTCCGAATTATGTCATGGGTAAAAGTGTAATGAAAGAATGAAAAAAAATCAGATTTGAAAACTGATCATTAACTTTTTTGCATGTATGGAAAAAAAATTAATGAATTCAGAAATACTGCCTGAATATTCTTCAGAATCTTTATTCAACTTTTTTCTCAAGTCATTGTATTTATTCTATCATAGTAGCAGTACAAAATATACATCTGTTTAGAGGTTGGCAAACTATGCTCCACAGGCTAGCTGCCTCTTTTGTAAATAAAGTTTTATTGGAACAGTCATGCACATTTGTTTATGTATTGTCTATGTCTGTTGTCATACCACAATGGTAAAATTGAGTAGTTGCAAGTGAAAACATTTGGTCCATATGCCTGAGCTTTTTTTTTCTTTTTTTTTTTTAAAGAAAAAGTTTGCCAACCCCTGACCTATACATTACTTCTGTTTTGGGGACTGTAACCTTAATACATGGAATGAGATTTTTCTGTGAAGAACGAATTGCTATATTTCTAGATGGTTGGATAGTAGAAGTTCATACAATATTTTTAACCGCTGCCATTGATAATTATTATAGGCACTAAAGTAAAGTCAATAAGAACACAAACTGACTTTTATACAACAAAACCTGCGAAGGTGGATTCTAAAATACGGCATTCCCTTACTACTCTACCTCATGTTGATCAGCAGCAATATTTGTTTAGCCCAAGCAGAGAAATGCCTACTCATTCAGGTACACTAGAAGGTCATCTCATTCCTATGGCGATTCTTTTAGGTAAGAATCAACAAAATATATTGGAATAAAATTTAAATTAGAATATATAAATGTATTTTGTTTTTAGTAGTAGTAGCAGAACTTACAAAATGGTACTGAAACAATAGTCACCTACCTTCTTCTGTATGTGTTGTTTTTATTTGTGGGGAAGGACCTCTGTAACTTACTCTGTGTAATAGCAATTTCTGAAATGATGGGTTTTTGCTACAGTCTTACAGAAAGCATTCTTTTAGTATTGGTATTTTGCTGCGGGTGGAATGAAATTAAAAAAAATTGACATGTCATGGGCATTCATAATAATTCAATAATTTCAATTGACTTGTTAATACTATTACGTATTAGGGAAAGTACCTTAAAGCACCTTTTATGTACTTTTGAATTATGATGTGATAACCAAAAAGTTATGTGGTTGTGTATTCTCTTTACTTATTTAAGGTTTCTCCTCATGTTTAAAATAGAACAAATCATTTTTGCCCTCACACCAACTCTTCAAATCCAGTTAGCTATTTTTGTCTTTCGGTATTGTTACTTTTTCTTCCTTAATTTTGATGGTTGATTTAAATATGAGTTTTTTTTTAACATAAGAGATAATTTTTAATTTTTGGTTTTATATGTTAATGGCATATCATCTTGCTAGCTAATACTGTTCAAAAGTGCCTTCTAGTACTATAATGGCTAACACTTATAAAGTCCGTACTGGGTGCCAGATAGAGTAGTAAGCACTTTTACATATATTAACTTACTTAATCTACCTTATAACGTTGGTGGTATTATACTAATTTTATAGATGAAGAAACTGAGGCAGAAAGAGGTTAAGCATCAAAGGCCAAGTAGCTAGAGTTGAGCAGGATTCAAACCAGGCAGTCTGGCTTTAGAGTCTGTGGTTTTAACGAGTACACTGTACTGCCCCTCTTTACTTTGAAATTTAGGAAACAAATGAAACTTTTGAAGTGAATGCTAACAAGTTTTTAACAGCTATGATAGTTGTCGAGTAAATTGCCTACATGCTATTGGTAGTCAAGCACTAGTATTTTGTTGCTGATTTTATTGTTTCTGTATAGAAATTTATTTCATTGTTGCTCTGCTGTGATTTGGGAATAAAAATAATACAAAATAATGCAATATACTTTAGTCCTGGCTCTGCACTTACAAACTGTTAGGACTTTGGGTAAATTACGTCTCTAAACCTATGCTGATTAAAATGTGGATACTATTAGTACCTCATAGGCTTCTTATTTATTTATATATTTATTTACACATATTGTTTTATGACATTGCTTAACAACCCCACGACATGTCAACCCTCTCCCTTCTCGACCTTTTTCTTTTTTGGTGAAAATATACATAGCCAAAGGTACACCATTTCAAAAATTTCTACATGCACAGTTCAGTGACATCAACTACACTCTTCCAATTGTGCTGCTATTCTCACTTTAGATGAAGGTTTACAGAAGAAAATAGTTTCTCATAAAACAGTTAGTACACATATTGCCCTATGACAATGGTTAACAACCTCACAACACATCAACAGTATCCTTACTCAACCGTGGGTTCCCTCCTGTCGCCTTCTGCCTTCTAGCCCTTGTCCCTGGACTGCTGTGCCTCATTAGTCCCATTTGGTTTTATGGGGCTGTCCACTCCCCGGCTGAACGGTGAACCTCGGAAGTGACTTCACCACTGAGCTAAAAAGGTGTCTGGGGGCCATACTCTCGGGGTTTCTCCAGTCTCCTTTAGGCCAGTAAATCTGGTCTTTTTTTTTGTGAGTTAGAATTCTGTTCTACATCCTTTTCCAGCTCTGTCCAGAACCCTCTGCTGTGATCCCAGTCAGAGCAGTCAGTGGTGGTAGCCGGGCACCATCTAGCTGTACTGGACTCAGTCTGGTGGAGGCCTTGGTAGTTGTGGTCCATTAGTCCTTCGGACTAATCTTTTCCTTGTATCCTGTTCTCTTCATTCTCCCTTGCTCGGGAAGGGATGAGACCAGTGGAGTATCTTAGATGGCAGCTCACAGGCTTTTAAGACCCCAGACGTCATAGGCTTCTTTTGAGGTTTAGATAGCTTATATGAAGTATATATAAGTGCCTAATAAATGTTAGTCAGCTGCTAAAGGATAACACGGTATGTTGAAAGTGGTGATGATAGAGGGAAAGGTGATTGTCAGATAGTACTTTCATATGAGAATTTAGCCACAAAGATCCAGGAAGTGTATTAAATCTTCCTATTTATATTTGAAATAGTTGACTCATTTTCTTCCTCAAACTTCTTTAGGACAAACCCAGAGTAATAGTGATACCATGCCACCTGCTGGAGTAATTATAAGCAAGCCACATCCTGTAACTGTGACTACTTCTATTCCTCCATCATCTCGAAAACCAGAAACTGGCATAAAGAAACCTAACATAGCAGTTGTAGAGATGAAGTCAGAAAAGAAGGATCCTCCTCACCTTACTGTACAGGTATGTCAGGGCTCATGAGCAGAAAATTTTCAGGACAGTTCTTTGGTTTAATGTTAGTACTTAAAATCTGTTACATTGCTTCTTGAAAACTATGCTTTCTGTTCCTTCATTCTTTAAAACTGTGATATTGATATGATTGATGTCTCTATCCTTGTTCTGCATGATTTGAGATACCTCTTTCAGCCAGTAATTCATTTCCAGGTGACTGGATGATAATCCAAAGGGAACAATTTAACAGTGTGTTATAATTAATATTAAAAAAGAGTTAATGTGTGTGACATATAATTAATATTTCAAACTTTACTCAAACATGTTGAATGAATGGAGAGAAAAAACTTACTTCTGTATGTGAAGACTAAATATTCAAGTTGGCAACTCTTCCCAAGTAAATGTATAATTTGGATTAATTTCTAATTAAAAAAAAAAATGGGATTTTTTTTTTGAACTTGAAATTTAGAAAAATTTTGATATGTGAAAGAATAAAGGGTATAGAAAGTTAGAGTATTGTCACTGGTACAGTATAACAGAATATTTTAGAAATAGCCTCTGTTACTTAAAAAGAATGTAATATGTGATGAAGACTTCATAAATTGGTGAGAAATGGAAAGATTATTATAAATAAAATTGTAAATAAATGTAATAATTGGTTAGCAGTGTGGAAAAAAGATTAGTTTTAGACTGTAACCTACCATACAGCAAATGTCTTCCAAATATGCAATAGGCTAAAGTATAAAATAAAAGAACATAGAAGAATTAGGAGATAATTGGATGGAATTTTTTCAAAAGCTGAAGCTAAGCTTCGATATGAGAGAAGAAAACTTAGATATGGTAGAAAAATATATTTGAATCTATAAAAATCTAAAACTTAAATACGTAAAAAATTCTAAAAGAGAGACAGTATACTGGGAAAACATATGAAAGGAATGTACTAGTAAAAGATTAATTTTTAAATATAAAGATCTCCATAAAAAAAGAAACTATATAGCTGCAAATCCAGAAATATTCAAAGGACATGTATAAGAATGTACAGAAGAAGAAATATAATTTATAAGGAAGCAAATTGAGTAATTTAGATCTTGCTACTGGTTAAGATAACGCCAATTAAAATCACAATAATGCACCTACATTTTTAAACTGTTAACACTGAAAAAATTATATTACCTAATTTTGGTAAGCTTTGGCTAAAACTTATAATCGATTATGCATTTGATGATGTAAATAGAGCACATAAAATATTGCACTTTGGCAGTAATTACCAAGAGTCTTAAATATTCATACCTTATGACTCAAGAAGTTATCTAATATTTGAGCTCTAGAATAATGAAATAATTTAAAATTTGGAAAAAACTGTATATATAAAGAAATTTTTAATAGTAATATTTATGATAGTGGAAAAATTAGGAATATCCTACATATTTAATAATAGAAAAATGATTAAGACATATATATTTATTGAAATATTATACAATCATTTAAAAATATAATTATCAAGTCTATATATGGCAGCATGATAAGGTGCTTATGACCTAATAACAATGAAAAACCAGGAAAGAAAATTATTTTAGATTTCAGCTCTGCACAAATATAAAGGATGTTGTGTGTTTCCCCTTTATTTTCCAAATTTTGTAAAATATGTTTTTATAATTTAAAACTTTTAGTATTGGCTTCACAATAAAGAATTAATGGGCATGTTTTGTTATCAGTATACAGATTGACAAATATAGATTTTTGAGTCAAAATCATGAGCAAAGTGATGTTCCGTTCTGTTTTAGGTATTACCCAGCGTAGATATTGACAGCGTTTCAAATGGTAGTGTTAATGTCAGTCCATCTCTTCCTAGTCCCAGAGAAGCATCTTCTCCTCCTTTGAAAACCTGGATACAGGTATTTTTCAGAATTGTATCATATTGTTTTTAGGAATGTCTGACTACAGATTTTAAACTAATGTTATTCCATGTACACCTGAACATAAAGAAAATGAAAATCCTTACAATTAGACCAATAAACAACAAACATCATGATAGATGGTGAAGAAATTGAAATTGTCAAGGATTTCATTCTTCTTGGATCCACAATCAATGCTTATGAAAGCAGCAGGCAAGAAATCAACTGACACATTGCATTGGGTATATCTGCTATAAAAGACCTCTTTGAAGTGTTAAAAAGCAGAGATGTCACTTTGATAACTCAGGTGTGCCTGACCGAAGCCATGATATTTTCGGTCGCCTCATATGCGTCTAAGAGCTGGACAATGAAAAGAAGTCCAAAGAAGAATTGATAGATTCAAATTGTGATGTTGGCAAAGAATATTGAATATACCATGGACCGCCAGAGGAACGAACAAATCTGTCTTACAGGAAGTACAGCCAGAATGCTCCTTAGAAGTGAAGATGGTGAGACTTTGTCTCACTTACTTTGGATATGTCATCAGGAGGGACCAATTGCTGGAGAAAGACATCATGCCTTGTAAAGTAGAGGGTCAGAAAAAATAAGGAGACTCTCAATAAGATGTATTGACACAGTGGCTGCAACAACAGGCTCAAACATAGCAACGATTATGAGGATGGTGCAGGACCAGGCAATATTTCATTCTGTTATACATCAGGTCAATATGAGTCAGAGCTGACTCAGTGACACCTAACAATAACAATCCCATGTGAAGCCTTGCATCATAATCATAGTCTATTAATAATAATTTAGGTTTGAGGAAAAATTTAAAATGAATCTAGAAATGCTTATAAGCTTGAAAAAGAAAGTTTGTTTCAGATTCTTAAACATTTATAAACATTCAGAAAGTGGTAATCCTCAGTGTAACTTTTTGATAACTTGAGATGTGAAACTCTCATATGTGAAAAGAATTTCTTTTCTATCTCTTTGGAGAATAATCTTGATTTAAATGGGAATCAAATGATAATGTTTTACTGAATGTGTCTTTTATAGTGATGATTGAAGTTCATGTTTTGGGCATGTTACTTTGTGATTATACTATTGACATGATGGAAAAATATGCATATGTTCTTGGTATTTATTTGCTGATGAATTATGAAGTTATGACTTTACTACACAGCAAAATAACACTGGTAACTTTTCCCAAGTTTCATCTATTGTAAGCAGTTTTGGTCATTGAAGGATACAATTTTAAGGAGAGAGAGAACAGCAGTCTCTCATAATCAGATATAATAAAAATATAATATATAATAAATTAGGCACAAACCCTAAATAGCATTTGTGCCTAATTTAATTTTTTATCAGTAATATTTTTCACCAGTTTATTGAAAAGTATATGAGTACAAATAATCATTTTCTTTTTCTAAATTATTTGATTTTATATCTGTCTTTTTGTGAGTTTGTGTATGTGTACATATACACATACACAAATATAAAGACTTTATCTTAACTCTAGGAGAGAAATCAGTCATATCAACCTGCTGACCAATTGACTTAAGTTGCATGGTTGATAGATTTCTTGACAGAAAAACTGATGTGTAATTTTTTTATAGCTATGAAATGGTGACCTAATGGCTTGAGGATTAAGTTAAATTTCATTTACCAATTAAATCAATTCAGAACATGATATTAAAATAATGTGAAAGTAATCCTATGTAATTACAAGCTTATATTATGGGTGGAAATATGAAAAATTATGTATAAATTAAAAAAAAAAAAGGATTAAGCACAATAAAAACTTTCTGAAAATGCTTTTTTAGACTGCTGAAATTACAAAGGTGGATGAAGAAGAAGTGAAGTTTCCAGGAACTAACTTTGAAGAAATAATTGATGTCATACAGGTAACAAAGTTTAGAAACCATGAGAAATTATTTTTCCATGTGGTTGAATATCTTTTGACTATAAATATTATGCTAAAGTGCTCTGAGAAACTTCTTTTTTACTTTTGAGTTAAATATACTTTTATTTTTAAAAACCGTAATAAGGTTGTTATTCTATAGTACCGTATTTATCTGTATCACCTGTCTGGTTCCATTAAACTTAATGATTGTTAGCTCTTTCCCACCTGGATCTTGTCTAGCCTGCTTCCTGCTTTCATCTTCTGTTTCCTTTAGCGTCTCTCACTCCAATTTATCTTTTCTTCATTCTATTTATCTCTTTCGATTTAAGACTAATGGAGAAGTCACTAGTTGATCTGCCATGAAACCTTTGCATTGAGGAAAAAATTTGTGAGGCACACAAAACCAAGGAAAGGGCAGGGGTTGTAGCAGAAAGAGTTATAGAAATCGTAGGAGTAGTAAAGTAGAAGGAGGGAAAATAAAGGAGGAATTAAAAAATAAAGAATGGGAAAAAAGATCATACAACAGACTTTAAAGAAGACATTTGTTCAGACCTTTCAGAGCTAAGACCAATTTTGTTAATCATAAAATGAAACTGTATTTTAGAATATGAAAAGATATGCGATATATTAATGTTACTTGCCCACAGGTATGACTTTTCGTATGAGCTCCACATAAGTGTCTTGAAAAAAAGGAGAAACCGCTGCAAACATCCATTAATTGGAACATGGAATGTACGAAGTATGAATCTAGGAAAATTGGAAATAAAAAATGAATTGGAATGCATAAAGATCGATATCCTGGCATTAGTGAGCTGAAATGGACTGGTATTGGCCATTCTGAATTGGACAGTCATATAGTCTACCATGCAGGGAATGACAAATTGAAGAGGAATGGCATCGCATTCATTGATAAAAAGGACACTTAAAGCTCAGTCCTCAAGTACAACACTGTCAGTAATAGGATAATATATATACGCCTATAAGGAAGGACCAGTTAATATGATTCTTCAAATTTACGTACCAACCACTAAGGCCAAAGATGAAGAAATCAAAGAAACTTCTGCAGTCTGAAATTCATCAAACATGCAATCAGGATGCATTGATAATTACTGGTGATTGGAATATGAAGTTGGAAACAAAGAAGAAAGACCAGTAGTTGAAAAATATGGCCTTGGTGATAGAAATGAAGGTAGAGATCGCATGAAAGAATTTTGGAATTCTGATGACTTTTTCATTGCAAATACCTTTTTTCAACAACATAAGTGACAACTGTACACATGGACCTTGACGGATGGAATACACAGGAACCAAATCAACTACACCTGTGGAAAGAGATGATGGAGAAGCTCAATATCATCAGTTAGAACAAGGCCAGGGGCTGACTGTGGAACAGACCACCAATTGCTCGTATGCAAGTTCAAGTTGAAGCAGAAGAAAATTAGAACAAGTCCACGAGAGCCAAAGTATGACCTTGAGTATATGCCACCTGAATTTAGAGATCATCTCAAGAGTAGATTTGATGCATTAAACACTGATGACCAAAGACCAGACAGGTTGTGGAATGACATCAAGAACATCACATGAAGAAAACAAAAGGTGATTAAAAAGACAGGAAAGAAAAACAAAGACCAAAATGAATGTCAGAAGAGACTGTAACTTGTTCTTGAACGTAGAGTAGCTAAAGCGAATAGAAGATATGATAAAGTAAAAGAGCTGAACAGAAGTTTTCAAAGGGTGGCTAGAGAAGACAAAGTATTATGATGAAATATGCAAAGACCTGGAGTTAGAAAACCAAAAGGGAAGAACATGCTCGGTATTTCTCAAGCTGAAAGAACTGAAGAAAAAATTCAAGCCTTGAGTTGCAATATTGAGGGATTCTATGGGCAAAGCATCAGAAGAAGATGGAAGGAATACACACAATCACTGTACCAAAGAGAATTGGTCATTGTTGAGCCATTTCAGGAGGTAGCACAAGATCAAGCACCGATGGTACTGAAGGAAGAGGTCCAAGCTGCACTGAAGGCATTGGTGAAAAACAAGATTCCAGGAATTAATGTAATACCAACTGAGATGTTTCAACAAATGGATGCAATGCTGGAAGTGCTCACTTGTCTATGCCAAGAGCTACCTGGCCAGCTGACTGGTAGAGATCCATATTTGTGCCCATTCCAAAGAAAGGTGATCCAACAGAATGTGGAAATTATTGAATATCATTAATATCACATGCAATTAGAATTTTGCTGAATATTTCAAAAATGGTTGCAGCAGTACATCAACAGGGAACTGCCAGAATTTCAAGCCAGATTCAGAAGACTGTGAATGAGAGATAGCATTGCTGATGTCAGATGGATTGTGGCTAAAAGCAGAGAATACCAGAAAGATGCTTTTTATTTTATTGACCATGCAAAGGCATTCAACTGTGTAGATAATAACAAATTATGGATAACAGTGCAAAGAATGGGAGTTGCAGAACACTGAAATTGCAGTCATGAGGAGTCTGTATATAGACCAAGAGGCAGTTGTTCAAACACAACAAGGGGATACTGCTTGGTTTATAATCAGGAAAGGTGTGCATCAGGGTTGTATCCTTTTACGATGCTTATTCAATCTGTATGCTGAACAAATAATCTGAGAAGCTGGACTGTATGAAGAACAGCGAGGCATCAGGATTGGTGGAAGACAGATTAACGACTTGCGGTATGCAGATGACCCAACCTTGCCTGCTGAAAGTGAAGAAGACTTAAAGCACTTACTGATGCAGGTCAAAGACTATAGCCTTCATTATGGATTACGCCGCAACATAAAGAAAACAAAAATCCTCACAACAGGACCAGTAAACAACATCATGATAAACGGAGAAAATAATGAAGTCGTCAAGGATTTCATTTTACTTGGATCCACAATCAACACCCATGGAAGCAGCAGTCAAGAAATCAGACAACGTATTGTATTGGGCAAATCTGCTGTAAAAGACCTCTTTAAAGTGTTCAAAAGCAAAGATGTCACTTTGAAGACTACAGTGCTCTTGACCCAAACCATGATATTTTCAATCGCCTCCTATGCATACGAAAGCTGGCCAATGAATAAGAAGGACCGAAGAAGAATTGATGCCTTTGAATTATGGTGTTGGTGAAGAATATTGAATATACCGTCGACTGCCAGAAGAACAAACAAATCTGTCTTGGAAGAAGTACAGCCATAATGCTCCTGAGAAGCAAGTATAGTTAGACTTTGTCTCACGTACTTTGGACATGTTATCAGGAGAGACCATCCCTTGAGAAGGACATCATGATTGTTAAACTAGAAGGTCAGTGAAAAAGAGGAGGACCCTCGAGGAGATGGATTGACACAGTGGCTTCAACTATGGGTTCAAACATATCAATGATTGTGAGGATGTTGCAGGACTGGGCAGTGTTTTCTTCTGTTGTGCCTGGGGCCACTATGAGTTAGAACCGACTCAGTGGCACCTAGCAACAACAACTTTTTTTGAGACGCACATTGAAATATTTATAGAGAAATTATATATATGTAATTTGCTTCAAAATAATATAGTAAGAGGAAATTGGGTGGGGGTGTAGATGAAACAAGCTTGGCCATGAGTTCATAATTGTTGGAGCTGGGCAGCAGGTAAAAGTGAATTCATGTTACTTACATATAACAGATATTAATAATGCACGAGCACTATTTTCTCTGGTTTTAAATATGTATGACATTTTCCATAATAAAAGGTTAAAAATTTTTGAAACAACTCTTTATCATGATATGGTGGTACAAATAATGTGTAAAAGAACCTAACTGAATCTTTAAATGTAAATTATAGATTCTGCAAGAGAAAGCAGTGATATTTAGAATTATCAGTCTTTTTATGATAAAAATGGAGTTCATAAGTTTCTCAAGGGAAATGTTAATAGTTTACCTAGGGATAGTCAAGTTGTCTAGCTTGTTTCATGACTTAAAAAAGAGTATTGTATTTAAAGAGAAAATAATTGTGTAATTAAAGGTTTCTTCTCTTCAGTGTGATTTGCGTGACTGATGTATATATTACAAACAATGTGATATACCACCTCATTAGAGAGGCTGTTGGTTAATTAGAAATGTTGATTAATTCACCTGGCCAAGTGCTCTGCGTATAGTTGGCACTCAAGAAGTGTTAAACAAATGCAGGAATTTAATAGATTTGTTTCTATTATTAATAATAGGTTTGTTTTTATTATTACCAGGAAGAAGAAAAATGCGATGAAATTCCAGAATACTCTGAACCTATTCTGGAATTTGATAGAAGTGTTAAAGCTGTTTCTACAAAATATAATGGTCCTCCATTTCCACCAGTCGCTTCTGCTTTTCAACCCACTGCTGATAATTGGGATAAAGTAATTGAGAGAAAAGAAACATTGGAAAATAGCTTAATTCAATGGTGAGTTTACAGTGGTGTTGGTGTGAACAGAATTGAAGTAGCAAATATAAATGGAAATAGTATTAAACTGAAAGCAGTAAATTTCAGTTGAAAATCTCCCTTGCATTTTTCTTCATTAAACTTTTCTTTTGCTACGGTCTCTGGAAACTATTTGATGTGATGTTGAGGATTTAACTAATTCTTGGACCTATTGCTTCTGTCTGTGAATATTTGTACTTACACTGTCTACTATGGCAAAAGAGACTATAGTGAAGGCCTTGGAAATACGCTTGTTCTTTAACCCACAGATTCACTGCCAGAAATTTATCCTAAGAAATAGGTATGGTTCTACTACTAGGCCAGAGAATACCGAAAAGTGCTTTGTTATATAGCACTTAACTACAAACAAGGCACTTTTTCTAGGTTTATTACATGTATTAACTTGTGAGCGCTATTATTATCCCCATTTTTACGTATGAGAAACCTGAAGGATGTTATTAATACACTTAGAAATATATGTGAATAGATAAAAGTTTGAAAAGCATAGGTACCAAATTGTTAACTGTGTTTATCCCTGAATTTGGGATTATGAGATTTTTTTCAAAACTTATATGTATTTTCTGATTTTTCTGCAATGACTATCTATTACTTGTATACTAATTTTTTTAAAAAAGTGTATGGTTAAGTGCTCGGCTGCTAACCAAAAGGTCAGTGGTTCAAACCCACCAGCTGCACCACAGGAGAAAGATGTGGCAGTCTGCTTCCATAAAAATTTCAGCCTTGGAAACCCTGTGGGGCAGTTCTACTCTGTCCTTATAGGGTCACTGTGAGTCTGAATTGACTTGACAGCAACGGGTTTGGTTTTTATTAGCTGTTCTAAAGAAATATATTAGAAGAAATCGTATTGCAGTAGGTGTAAATCTTATGTTTTGTGAAAATGACCTTGGAAATACTTTTTCTTCCTTTTTTAAGAGGAAAACTACCTGATATCACAGCCTATACATTTATTTCCTTGAAAATAAGTGTATTGGACTTCTTTTCTAGCTTTGATCTTATATGGTTTTGTATCTGTGCCCACAGAATAGGGAATCAAACATTTTACGTGCATGAGATACCAGGTAATCACTGGCCCAGACTTTATTTTTGAATTCAGGAGCTCTGTTAAACTTTTAGTTAGATCATCTCAAAGACTGTAATTAGATTTCAGGAACTATCTCCCACAAGGAGATTCTATATGTGTAGTTTGTCTTATTGGCAGATACATGTTATGTTTTCCTTCTTTCCAGATTGAATTTTCAGAGTGACTGCTTTCACATGTAAACGTTTGTGTCCATGGGTAAAGATTATTTTTAAGCGTAGTATGTCCAACATTTATATATTTCAGTCAAATTTAGGAATCCTTAACTTTTGTCCTCCAGGGTAGAACAAGAAATAATGTCAAGAATTATCTCTGGGCGCTTCCCAATCCAGCAACAGGTCGCACCTAATGTCAGTGTTTCAGTCAGCGAGGAAAGTGAACCATTGACCTCTGACATTGGTAAGTGAAATGGAATCTTTTTAACTTTTTCTGTTATTAAAAAACAAAACCTTGTAGATTCATGTATTTTAGAGATTGAGTAAGTCCTGGGTGACAAAAGATAAGCTCTTACCTTCAATTATCACTTCTAAGACTTCTCCACAGTGGAGGTTCCCCGTTTCCCTCTTACAATGTATCTTTTACACTGTTGCCCCACCCTCCATTCCTCCTACCCCCAAACCTCTCTATTATTTCCCTTAGCACTTTATATATATCTTTATTATAATAATTATCAGATTATATTATGGTTGGTTTACATATCTGCCTCACTCACTACACTATGAATTACTCAGGATTAAGGATATTTCTCCTTTAGTATCTAGCGCTTGATTGACACCAAATAAGGGTTTAAGTATTCACCAGCTGGATAAGTGAGCCTCTTTCTTTATGGAGCTGCCCTTTTCTCCTGCTTCTCCTCCTCTGTCTTTTTTGAGGTATAATTTACTTGCAATAGAATTCACCAATTTTAAGTGTACAGTTTGATAAGTTTTGACAAATGCACATAGCAATATGTTACACAGTCATAATATAGGAAAACATTTCCATTATCCCAAAAAGTTTCCCCATGTCACTTTGCAGTCAGTTCCTACCATCTTTCTGTCACTTTTCTGTAATTTCATATAGATGGACTCATACAGTATGTAGTCTTTTGTGTCTGTCTTCTTGTTATTTAGCATAATGCTTTTGATAGTCATGCTGTTGCATGTGGTAATATTACATTGTATGGCTATGCCATAATTTGTTTATTCATTTGCCAGTTGATGGACATTTATATTCTTTCTAGTTTTTGACTGTTATGAATAAATCTGCTAAAGACATTTCCAAACAAATCTTTATGTAGACACATCTTTTAATTTCTCTTGGTCATATGGTAAATATATGTTGTTTAACTTTATAAGAATCTGCCTAATTATTTTCCAAAGTATATATGTTTGCCTTTGTTTTGTGTATGTCTGGATAGGGCTTTATCACAGAGCTGTTCAGATTTTTATGCCAAAACAATGAATATAGAAATTACAAAGGAGATTTATTGACATATGTTGTTGAATATAAATTTGGGATTGTTATAGGCTTTGCTGTGGTAACTCCAGAGTAAATTGCTATTACTTCTCCCTCAATAAGTTATTCCAAGACACTTGTACTTGCTTTTTAAGGTATCTGGATATTGCTGTATAGATCTACTACTTAAGGAAGACTCTTCGGAGAGGTCACATATCCATCAGATTGTTTGGATCATTTTCAGACATTTTCCACACAGAGCTTTAGAAATATTGCCATTTTAAGTCTAGTGAAATCTCTTAAGAAAATTATACTGAATTTTATTTACGTTCATGTAATTGAGAAGTACAGCCTATTTGGAAAATTAATGTATCTATAGAACTTCTGATAGCAGTTACCTAAACTGCTGTAAGAGTTTGAGGAGAGGTAGCCTGTAACGTTAGTAACTGATGTGTCTGAAACTAGAAGGAAGGAAGATTTGCTTTCATATTTATGGAATATCTACCATTTCGCTAGAATTCCTCCCATAGTCATTATGTTTTGACCAAGAACTGTCACAGGGTTTCTTGTTGCCCTACTCTTGGATTTGTGAATTGCTTTCAGGTGAGGAAGGAGCCCTGGTGCCGCGGTGGTTAAGTTCTTGGCTGCTAACCAAAAGGTGGGCGATTCAAACCTACCAGCCACTCTGTGGGAAAAAGAGGTGGCAGTCTGCTCCTTCATAGATTACAGCTTTGGAAACCCTATGGGGCAGTTCTACTCTGTCCTGTAGGGTCGCTATGAGTCAGAACCGACTTGACGGCAGTGGGTTTGGTTTGGTTTCAGATGAGGACATTAAATGTAATGCAAATCCTTTTATATCACTTAATTCTGTAGTGGCAGGGAAGAGGCCATGTAAGTAAAAATTTGCATCTGTATGTTTTCCTCACCCTTTTCGTTTGTTTAGAGAGGATGTTTGTTATGTAAGTTATCATTTTAGTCTCTTTCATAACTAGATATGTTTGTATTTTCGTTTTTATTCCTCTCCCCACCCTCACATATTGCCATCTCTAAAATTTTAAGAGTTAATATTTGTATTGCGAGGATGTTTCTTGCACTTTTATACAGAAATCGTTTCATTTTTTAGTGGAAGGAGCAAGCGGTGGTGCCCTCCAGCTTTTTGTTGATGCAGGGGTTCCTGTGAATTCAGACACAATTAGCCGTTTTGTGAATGAAGCTCTCGCAGAAACCATTGCTGTTATGCTAGGTGACAGAGAAGAAAAGAAGCAAGGTCTCGCTGCTACAAGTGTTCCTGGGGATGTTTCGACAAGTGAAACATACTTGCCGGTAGGAGTCACTCTCATTTTATGATTTAGAGTTTTAGGGGATTTTTTTTTGATACATTTATTAAAGAACAGTAAAATTGATAAAATTTTTTTTTTTATTGTACTTCAGGTGAAGGTTTACAGAACAAATAGTTTCTCATGAAACAGTAGTACACATATTGTTTTATGACATTGGTTAACAACCCCACAACATGT